TTCAATCACATGCACTACACTCGATATATCATTGCACTCAGCTAGCTTTCCTTTTAGATCAGAATTAAAAAGGCAAATGAGACTCTTTAGGTCAATCAGAGGTGGAGATTTCTGTGTGATAGCTTTGTGTACTTTATACAGCATCCTTCCAAGAGAAGCTCTCATTGAACTGAATTCTCTTGATTTACTCTTTGAGACAGGAATTTCAACTATCACAATTAAATTATAATAATTTATACATAAGATATAGTCTACCTGTTGGTGCAGTTGGAGTGCAAGATGATGTGGATACAATGGTTGCTCCAGTGCTTGATGACTCTACAATAATTATCATTAAATTCAGTGCTGATAATTATTATTATACCTTCTTCAATATTAATATAACAAAATTTGTTATTAGAGGGAAAATGCACATCTAAAAAATGAAGGAAATAAAATTTATTAATTTTAATAGACTCACCATAGTCTCTTTGTATAACTGTTCCTAGTTTTACATTACCAGTGAACTTGCACAACACACTAGCAAATGTTTGTAGTAAACTATACTTGCTTTCAATAGCTACTATAATGCCAGCTAACAGGACTTCACGTTGATTAGGAACAGAGGGACTAGCTGATACCACACTAGCCAATACTTGTCCTGTTATGACACCCTCTCTTTGAAGCTACACTGAGAGGATCAGAGAGAGACTGAGAGAGGAGTGGATGATGAGTGTTGAATATATCAATAGCCTTAGCTTTATGTTCTATAGAATACACATACACACAGTTAGTACTAATACAATCAGTGATATTAACTTACTCTCTTGATCTAACTTGTCAGCTGCAACATTCTCATTCATAGATTTAAGAGCATCTGACAGTGAGTCAAAGGTAGCTCCTCCTTTACTGTCAACATTATCAGCTCTGGACAACCATCTGGCAATGCATTCAATAAAACAATCTTTTACATTTGAGTGGTTTTGTGTAATAGCATCCAGTGTGTTCTTGTGTAGTCCTAGTCTCAGTCCTAGTTCCTTCCATCTCCTCTCAGGGAAACTACATCTCTTCAATAGATCAAGTACATCAATCAAATCTACAATTATTACTAAGTCATGTGACACAGTGACAGTTACTATACATACTCTCTATAGTAAGCATTCCTTCAATCTTCATTTGATTCCTGTCTATTTCTGGCAATAAAATTTCCATTGACTGCACAGACTGATCCATTGCTACAGAAATACATGCAGTAATTATCTGTGCTCACATGATATCATGCATTACTTGTAATGGCTTCAGATTGAGTGAATTTATTTATACGAGGCACAATGCCTATAGTAAATTAAGTTGATTGATATCAAATAAATAATTAATAATTACATACGAGAAGGTTGATCAATCAGTTGTACACTCAATGATGACAATTTCTCCTGCAGTATTGCTATTTCTTCAGTTCCTATTAAATGAAAATGATATACAATTGTGTACACTTTGATTATTGGATGCATACTTTCCAATAGTATTTTCTCATTGATAATCTGTTCATTTTTTAAACTTAAAACTAAAAATAACTAATAATAATAATACTATTACCAATAATAAATACTATTTGCTTCTAGTGACGATATCTTATTCTGCAATACTCGTGAATCATCCCTAGTTTTTTCTAATACTCTATCTAGTCCTACAAAACATAAACACAATCCATGTGTATGACATTAGCTAAACAATTACTTTCATTTTCTAAATAGCTTGCATTAAGCTGCTTCTTACAAGTCTGTAATTCAGCTTCAGTTTCTTTTTCTAAAATAATACTTAATAAAGTTAAGAGTATCAAATAAATACTAACTTTGAAATGATACTGTTTCTTGTAGCTTGTCGATCTCACTTTTACTAGCAGCTAAAGATTTCTCAAGTTCTGCATGTAAATATTAAATATCATGCATACATGTCTACCAGTAACTATAATATTATACCAGCATTTAAGTCCTGTAGTCTCTGAATCTCCAATTTTATTGTTTCATTTTCACCTATTTAAATTTGATTATCATAGTAATGATAATTATTTCTGATACCATTGTTTTCAGTTTCTTTATCTTCTTCATCAGTTAACTCTTCTTGGCCTAATGTAAGAATAATTTTACATGTATACATACAAATTATGATTAATTACTTTTAAATTTCATAACTTGTGTATCTGTAGCTACAGATATTAATTCTATTATTTCTTCATTCCCTCCCTGTATTGCTAACTCCAATACTTTGTCTCCATTACTATCTTCATATTGTGAATTAGCTCTTAATGACAGCAACAGTGACACTTCAAATGTTTTATCTAACTTTACTGCTTCAATTATTGACTTGTCAAAGTCAACGTTATCTTTTTCATCAAGAAGAACGTCGTCATTTATTGAAAAGTAAAATACTCCAACTCGGCGCATTGATTCAGACTTTGACTTGACAACTTTGGTGATGTGAGCAATGGCAGAACGTGGTACCAAATAAGAGATGCGTACTGACCCTGGACTAATTTGAAGATGATTGAATATATTACGTCGAGTGAAATAATGCTTTAGTAAAGACTCAAAGTCATTTAGTGACATCTCATCCCATCCTCCATTTAGCATAATGACAACTATGCCGGCAGTATCTGAGGAAAAGTTATTTTGGTCAAATGTTGCTTCAATGGTAGATCGAAGATCTTTTAAACTATATGACATAAAGTCATCCAGCTTTTTAATGTATGCTTCCATTTTTCTTATTATGCAAGCATCAGAGATAGGGTGAGATGTAAAACAACCACTGATATGTTCCTCCATACATGATGATTTCTCAAAATATTCATCAACAATACCTTCT